GCTAAATTAAGGAGGAAAGGGGAAACTCAGCCTGGCTTCCGGGTTTTCGTTACAACAGCTGATATTAGTAACAGAATTCTGGTTAGAGTCTGTTTCCTGACCTAGCTTACTTCAAAGGGCTGCAGTATGCATTATTTTCAAGCACGTTTGAACTTTGGTTCATCCCCCAGTTAAACTACCCAGCCAAGGATTGAAGCCCAGTGTTACGTGCTTCATTTTTTCAATGATTGAGAAGAATGTCACATACAAAGCGTCCTTCAATGGCCAAAGGAAATGACACACAGTAGGATGTATGTTTAGCTAGTTGGCGTTCACAAGCCTCTGGGGCATGCATGTATTGTGTGTTTTTATAAACCGATGGCAGGGAAGGAGATGGTATCTAATAATGTCATATTACAAGGTAGAATTTAAATTAAAGGCTACAGCCTTGAATATTGACCCAAGAGACCTTAGTGGCTTTCGTATGCTGCAATTTCTTTACTCAACCATTTTGAATCTTGCAAAGTTGATGGGGTTTAATGGTTTCATTTCCTAGAATCTAAGTTAAATGCATTTTTCAGGCTGAGCACGGATTGTCTTGGACTGAGACCAAGCTGGTTTGCAGCAAAATGAGAAGAGGAAGGAGTCAAAATGTGAGTTTCCACCATCTCAGCCAAAGCCAATCTTATTGGGCATTGATCCCAGCAGGGTCCTTAAAGGAAAATTGCACTTTCCATATTTTCCCTTCTTCCTGTTTATCATCTCTCTACAGAGTTGCTAGCTACTGGGAGCGGTTTGCACTTTGTCCAAAATATTTAGGCAGAAAAGATTTGATTGAAGGATGGAGGCCAGGCGTGTGTCTGGAAGCAAACCACAACCATCTGTTTTTTTAGCTCTGACCCTTCTCTGCTTCTTCACTCATACCGGCAGATGTATTTGCAGCTGGCTTGGCTTTGTGTTTTCCTTTCTGTGTTCCATCACAAGGAGGGCCAAAGCACTTCCTTGCGTGACCAATACTTTAGATACTTTAGAGCAGTATTTCAGAATCTCAGGATATCATTATGCTTTTAACAGCTGTTCAGCAGCTGTGAGGTTGCCAACAGGTAGTTAAGTGATTAAGATAAGCCATATAGGTTGGCTTAAGTTATTAAGATAAGCCATATTGGTCATGGAAGACACATCTCCTGGGCTGGATGACTGAAGATCGGAGATTCTCCAGTACCATCTAACCATTACCCCAATGTTGGTTCTTTATTTTTATTCACAAATCAAATAGTTTAGCGTTGTAAGCATGCATATTCTGAACAGGACATGCAGTTCCACCATAAGAATTTTAAAATAGTTATATCGTCTCAGGCTAATAGCAATACCTCTGATCTAGAGTATGGTTCTTTGAAAGGGCAACCAGATAGTTCAAAGGTCTCACAACAGGGAGAGAGAGAGAGAGAGATGCTCTTCTTCTCGCCTTCTTCTCCTACAACTGGTGTTTATGGCCACCAACCTGGAGGTAACACTGAATCCTGAAGACCAACAAGCCTTGATAGATATCCTCCATGAATTTCTCTTTGAATCAGAATAGAGCTGGAAGGAACCTGGGAGTTCTCCTAATCCAACCCACCACTCAAGCAGGAGACCCTATACTATTTCAGACAAGTGGCTGTCCAGTCTCTTCTTAAAAACCTCCAGTGATGGAGCGCCCACAATTTCTGAAGGCAAGCTGTTCTACTGGTTAATTGTTCTCACTGTTAGCAAGTTTCTCCTTAATTCCAGGTTGCTCCTCTCCTTGATTAGTTCCATCCATTGTTTCTTGTCCTGCCTTCAGGTGTTTTGGAGAATAAGTTGACCCCCTCTTCTTTGTGGCAGTCCCTCAAATACTGGAATTCTGCTATTGTGATACTCCTAGTCCTTCTTTTCCCAGTGCCTGCAACTGTTCTTCATATGTTTTCATCTCTAGGCCTTCAATCATCTTAGTTGCTCTGCTCTGCACTATTTCCAAAATCTCAACATCTTTTTTTTGTAATTTGGTGACCAAAATTGGATGCAGTATTCCAGGTGTGATCTTACTAAGGTTTTATAAATCAGTACTGATACTTCATGTGATTTTGATTCTGTGCTTCTGTTTATACAACCAAGGATTGTATTCGCTTTTTTGGCTGCCGCAGCACACTGCTGGCTCATATTTCAGTGATCGTCCACTAGGACTCCAAGGTCCCTCTCACAGTTACTGTTTATGAGCCAGGTTTTACCTAATCTGTACTTGTACCTCCTGACTAAGTGTAAAACCTTACATTTCTCCACATTAAATTTGATTTTGTTAGATAGGGCCCAGTGTTCAAGTCTATCAAGATCCCATGCTGGCTGGGGAATTCTAGGAGCTGAAGTCCATATATCTTAAAGTTGCCGAAGTTGACAAAAATAGGCCTATGTGAACTTGAAGCTGGTTCCGCTAAAACCAATTGGGTAGGGGGCTTAAAATGTATGTTCACTGAGGACTAAAATAACTCCCTTGCATCTGCCCTCATTTGAGTAAGCCAACTGGGCCTTGGTTTGTCGCAAAAATCTTTCCAAGTAAGGTTACTATTTCCTAAATATAAGATTTCTTTTAAAATATGCCCCAACGTACCAATTTTGGCTATGCCAAAGGGATTGAAAGATGAGGCATTGAAGAAAAAAATGAATTTTTGGCCGCCAGTGTGCATTTTTACGTCTACAAGCTACAAATCCTAAATACAGACTTTACTCATAAGCTTATTTTTGAAGAGACTGCTTGAAGAGAGAGAAAAATGAAACCAGCTGCCTTTTTAAAAAAATAATAATAAAATGAGGACCTTTGGATCTGAAGATGCATGCATCATTTAAGGAATAGGACCTCATCCCAAAACCTAAAGAATATTAGCATTGTTTGGGCTGATAGATTGTAAAACATGCATTCATCACCAAGAACAGTAGGAAAAATATTTAATTTTTCCATTTATATAAAAGCTTACAGTTTCACCTAGGGCTTTGTAAGAGAATCTGGCAGATTAAGATAGAATAACAACTTCTCTAGATTGCTTTTTTAAAGCAAATCTTATTTTAATAGCTATATTTTTTATAGTTTTTATAGATTTGTTTTAAGCCAGATAAGTTTAGTATTAAGTGTTTTATTAAGTTATTTTTTACTGAAGGTTGTTTTTAATCTTGTTCTTCCTTTTGTACTCTGCCCTGGGCTCTTTCGGGAGAACAAATGGTATAAATATAAAACTAATAATGCTAAGAAATAATAATTCTGAAAGAAGAGAGAATGACCTGCAGCACGTTCTCCTCTCTACCAAGCTATGACAAATAATATTAAACCACCAGCAATTTGGGGTACAAAGTTTTTCAAGATCCAATTTTGGTTCAAATGTCTTATGAGCTCACAAATTTCCTTTGCTTTCTAAAATCATTCGAAATGAAGGCTCTAAATAAATCACACGTTGAATAAATCACACGCAAAATAAAATAAAATATTTGCCTTCCCCTCTAATGCTGTCATCCCAACTGTATTATTATACCCATGCCAGGAATAGCGCAACATGGAAACGGTTTTGTATTGGGCAGCGGTCAACATAAGGGATGGTAGATAAATTGTGGTTTTGTTTGATGCAGACGTGCCTCCTATAATTGTTAGAGAGCCAGTTTGGTCTAGTGCAGGGGTAGGCAACCTTGTCTCTTTCATGACTCATGGACTTCAACTCCCAGAATTCCTGAGCCAGCCATGCTGAGGGGAAAGGGAGAGGTTTCCATGCTGAGCCAGGCTGGCTCAGGAATTCTGGGAGTTGAAGTCCACGAGTCATAAAAGAGCCAAGGTTGCCTACCCCTGGTCTAGTGGTTAAGGCATCAGACTAGAATGCAGGAGATTATAAGTTCAAGTCCCACCTCAGACATGGAAGCCAGCTGGGTGATTGGGCCAATTACTCTCTCTCATCCCAACTCATGTCACAAGGTTATTGTTGTGGGGAAAATGAGAGGAGGAAGGTACGTCGGACATGTTCGCCACCTTAAGTTATTTGTAAAAATAATAAGGGCAGGATATAAATAAGTAAATGGTGTTGAAGAAGAGACTCTTGAGAGTCCCTTGGACTACAGGGAGATCAAAACAGTTGATCCTAAAGGAAATCAACCCTGGCTGTCCTTTGGAAGGACAGATACTGGAGCTGAAGCTCAAATACTTTGGTCACCAAATGAGACGAGAGAAGACTCCTTGGAGAAGATCCTGATGTTGGGAAAGATGGAAGGCAAAAGGAGAAAGGGAATGGCAGAAGATAAAAAGGATAGATAGTGTCATCGATGCAATGGACATGAATTTAGACCAGTGGTTCTCAACCTGTGGGTTGGGACCCCATTTGGGGTCGAACGACCATTTCACGGGGGTCGCCAAACAACGCAGTCCGCCATTTTTTCCCCCTTGTCCTTAGCTGTGCTACTCCCTTTTATTCTATTGGCTTTTGAAAGCCAATAGAATAGACTCTCTTGAATAGAGTCTAATTCTATTGGCTTTCAAAAGCCAATAGGAATGTTCAGGCTGTCTCTGCCCTGCTGAGCCCGCCAAAAGTCCCATTCTGCAAACGGTGCTGCACCAGTTGAGTAATCCTCGACTTACGACCGGTTGAGTAGTCCTCGACTTACGACCGGTTGGGGGTCGCGGCATTAAAAAGGTTGAGAACCACTGATTTAGATAAACTCTGGGAGACAGTGGAGGACGGGGTGGAGGGGCTGGCCTGCTAGGGTCCATGGAGTCGCAAAGAGTTAGACACGACTCAGCGACTGAACAAACAAGTTGCTATGAACAAAGAACACAGAGAAATAATAAGTGGAGCTTCAGTCCCAAACTCAGAAACAGGGTTTCTCTGTAATCTCTTTGGCTCGGTTGGAGATGCAAATGAACAATTATTCAGAGAAAGGATGACAATGTAATGACGATTTAATCCAAGTGAGCATGTACCAATGACCAGGTCACCGGCACCTTCCTTGCGCATAGAAGAAAAGGACTGACTCACCTCTATCCAAGCTGCGCATATTTTCATCCAGATGCAGGTCAAAAATCCGTACTTCGGCAAGGTTGGGCTCTTGTTCCAGAAGCATTTCAACCAGATGTTTTCCCAGGAAACCACAGCCTCCCGTCACCAGATAGATCTGGTTTTTGCTAGTCAACTTCATCGGTGCTGGAAAGGGAGAACCAAAGAGCACACTTAAATTGGGACTACAAGAAGTTGGAATGAGTGGAAGACGCAAAGGAACAAAAATAGAAATAGTAGAATCCAAGGCGGAGATTAAGAATATGAATTCAAGAGCAATCGTAAGAACCACACGTGTCACACATGGGAAAAAGGAAGGACCCTGAGGCTATACTCCAGAAGGAGGGGGAAAGGAGCAAAAAATAATAACAATGAACCACTGGAATGTATCTCTTCTTTCACACTGCTTCTAGGAAAGGTGCTGACTTTCCAAGTGGCATTTTCCAAACTGAAAGGCAGTGAGCCAACAGTCACGGATCATTGCTGCCTTTCATGCGATTGCTCCTAGAGACTGTCTCTATGTTAGAATTGGCGTCACTGCCGTCTACCAGAAGGACAATAGCTCTCCTACTTGTCCAAGTTCTCAAATTTTGAGTATTTTCCTAAATTGTTTGTTTTGGAGCTTCTGGATATAGGCTATAGCAGGGAGGAAAAATGGATTTGAATCAACTATTAATCATACTAAAAAGCAGAGACATCACCCTGCCAACAAAAGTACGTATAGTCAAGGCCATGGTTTTCCCAGTTGCAACGTACGGCTGTGAAAGCTGGACCATAAGAAAGGCTGAGCGCCAAAGAATTGAGGCCTTTGAATTATGGTGCTGGAGTAGACTCCTGCGAGTCCCCTGGACTGCAAGGTGATCAAACCGGTCAGTCCTAGAGGAGATCAACCTCGACTGCTCTTTAGAAGGCCTGATCCTGAAGTTGAAACTCAGGTACTTTGGCCACCTAATGAGAAGGAAGGACTCACTGGAGAAGGGCCTAATGCTGGGAAAGATTGAGGGCAATAGAAGAAGGGGACGGACAGAGAATGAGGTGGCTGGATGGAGTCACTGAAGCAGTAGGCGTGAGCTTAAATGGACTCCAGAAGATGGTAGAGGACACATTGTCCATGGGGTTGCAACTAACAACAACAATAATTAATCATAGTTTCAGTTGGGAAACTGTGGCCATCCTAGAGCAAACCAAGTCCCAAAATGCTAGGGAATTTCTAGAGGCCTGGCCCTAGCTATCAATAGACGCATAGACATGGACAATACCAATAGACTGGCAAAAGAGATAATCAACGAGCAAAGAGGAACAAAGAGACCTCAGCACCTCTCCACCACCAATCAGCACCCAGTTGAGCATAGATTAACACCAAGTTTAACAAGTAAACAATACCCCCATCAAGGAACTGCCAAACAAGTCAACAGTGGACAGCCCAACCAAAGAACCACGTCAGGGCACACCACTAGAATATAAATTGAGAACAAATCCCGTTCCTTACTAGCATTGATGATGTACCCTAGTTTGGGTAATGAAAGGACTGCAAAGAAAACCAGGGCAGAGAGTGCTAAAAACCCCATGAATCAACCCTAATTGCAGAGTGTGTTTGTTTGTGTGTTTGTGCTTCTCCAATTAGTGCCTCATTTAGGGCTGAAATCCAGGCCATTATTTATAAGCCAGGAAGCTTACCATAATGCCTCCATTTACAGTCAAGTGCTATGTGACTTCGTGCTGGAGACATAATCAAAAGAAATATTAGACCACACTACAATGACAACTCTACAACACATTTGTAGCAAGCTATTCTTCGGGGTTCTTAGTCTACATCAGGGGTCTTCAAACTTGGCCCTTTTATGACTTGTGGACTTCAACTCCCAGAATTCCTCAGCCAAGCAAGCTGGCTGAGGAATTCTGGGAACTGAAGTCCACAAGTCATAAAAGGACCAAGTTTGAAGACTCCTGGTCTACATATTCAGGCATTCCTCTACTTACAACCATTCATTTAATGACCGTTCAAAGTTATAGTGGTACTGAAAAAAGGGATTTATGACCAGTTTTCACACTTGCAATCAGTCTAATAAGATCCTCATTTTTGGGATCCCTCCCTATAAGAAGGTTTTGAGGAGAAGAGGAAGCCAGGAAAACTGCTTCATGGAATATGGCACTAGGGGTAGCCCTTGACTTACAACCACTCATTTAATGACGGTTCAAAGTTACAACGGCATTGAAAAAAAGTGACTTATTATCAGTTTTCACACTTATGAGAATTGCAGCATCCTCACAGTCACGTGATCAAAATTTGGGCACTTGGCAACTGGCATGTATATAAGACAGCTGCCCTGTTCCGGGGTCCTGTGATCCCCATTTGTAATCTTCCCAGCCAGGTTCTGACAAGCAAAGTTAATAGGGGAATCCAGATTCACTTAATGACTGTGTGCAATTCACTTAACAACTGTGGCAAGAAGGTCATAAAATGGAGCAAAACTCATTTCATAACTGCCTTGCTTAACAATACAAACGTTGGGCTTAATTTTAGTCATAAGTCAACCAAACTAACCTATATGTTAGTTTAAAAAAAAAAAAAACCAAAGAAGAGGATTTCGAAGAAGTTTAGATTAATCTGCCTTTGTTCTGGTCTTCCAGGTCTTTTTCCTTTAATTTTTATCACCCTGTCAACAGTTCAAAGAACACATTTTTCCTCCTATTTTTGTATATGCCCCAAAAAACCTCTCCACGATATCTTATTTTGCTCTAGACCAGGCTTTTCAACCTTTTCCCCCATTGTACCACTTTTAGGATATGGCAATATCCGAGTATCACCAGTCGCCTAGCAAGGTGTCAAAAACTTGATGATCAAAAAAAAAAAAAGGAAAGAAAAGAAATAAGTGATAAAGTACAGGTAGCCCTCGACTTACAACAGTTCGCTTAGTGACTGTTCGAAGTTACAATGGCACTGAAAAAAGTGCCCCGGTGGCATTCTTCCTCCTGTCCGAGGTTTTCATTGTTGTGAGTATTTCTGTTGAGGATTGGCAGTGGGGGTGGGGTGGGTATTTTGTTTTTATTCCCCCGTCTGCTGGGTGGTTGCAGCAGGTTTTGATTACTTCACATGACTCTGGGACACTGTGACTGTCATAAATATGAATCAGTTGCCAAGCATCTGAATGTACATCACAAGACCTGGAGATGCTGCAACATTCCAGCTGATTGGCGCTTCTTCTGGGCTCAGCAGAAGCACCAGGATCAGCGCCAAGCTCCAGCTGGAGCCTGGCGCTGATCCTGGCGCTTCCCCTGATCCCTGACAGCCCTGCAGCTCCAGCCATCTCTCGCTCAGGCTTGTGCGGTGCTGCCACCGGTTCAGCTCATTCCTCTTCCCCACTACCACTTTTCTAGGATGGTCACATACCACCTGCCAGGTGCCAATGTACCACAGGGGGTCCCTGTACCACTGGTTGAAAAGCCCTGATCTAGATGTGAAAAAAAAATATACATTTTAAAAAGGATGTCGGCAGATAAAAACTGCCTGATCAATGCTAACCTATGCAAAAAGGAAGGCTGGTTTCCTCTATTTTGAACATTGGCCACAAGCAAGATGCTACAGCACAGCGGTGTTTTCTCAACCTTTAAGATGTGTGGACTTCAACTCCCAGAATCCCCCAGCCACCATAGTCAGCAAGAAGGGAAGCCAGATCTTTAAAAATACACCTGTCTTCTCCAATGCACTACCTTTCAGATGTAACCCCCAGAGGAGAGAAAAGATGCTAGCTAAGAACATGGGGGGGGGGAGCAAACTCAGACAAGCAGGCTGTAAACAACACACAACACACACAGATTTCCCTTCACCAAAACCAGTCAGATGACATTCTCCTTTTAACAAGTGCAAAAAAAAAAAAAAAGAGAAGGATTAAGATAAGGTGACCAACTTTTTTACAATGAAAAGGAGGACACAAATAAATTGAAGAAAAATATATCGTAAATAAAAGAATCATTTTATTCATTGCAACAATAATACAGACAACTTGCATGTGCAAAGTTTGCCAGCTGGGTGTTTTGGCGCGCTCAGCAGCAATTCCTATTGGCTTTCGAAAGCCAATAGTGGGAGTAGCACAGCTCATGCAAAACTTGAAGAAAAAAAACATCAAAAAAAGGTGCCGGAACGCCGTTCTGAGCGTTCTATGAGGGGGAAAAAAAGCCCTGCAGTTTAGTCTTCAAATATCGAAAAGGAGGACATGTAGGAGGACACTTTTTGAGGGAGGACAGAACTTACAAAAGGAGGACTGTCCTCCCTAAAGGAGGATGGTTGGTCACCTTAATTAAGAGCAAATCCACCATCAATATTTCTGGTATTCAGATCAACATGGGTGGTGGTTTCCTAACCTCAAGTTCCGGATGCTTTCTGGAGAACCACGGTCAAGGATGTCCAGAGAGAGATCTTTGGGCTGAACCCACCCGGGAGGGATCCACTCCAGCAGACAAGAATGCGAGCACCTCAGCCAAACTCTGTGCTATACTGCCAAGTGGAACCTCCCAGTCTTTTCCCAATTATTGGATCACCTGAGGTAATTAGAACACCAAGCTCAAATATTTCTTTGCTAAGCCTCTACCGACAGGCAAATAAAGACAGAAACAAGGTATTTCTGATTTATTTTTATGGATTTATTTCTGTAGATTTATATCGCTGCCCACTCATTCTCAGTGGATCTGGGCCAGAATTGGACAACTTGCCCCAGCCAACTCACCGCAGGACAATTCAATAATTCAGTTTAATTATTTGAAATAGTTAAAACATTATTTTAATTTTTGTCATTCACATTTCATTTTATCCATCCTTTGGCATCCTTTAATAATAATAGTAGTAGTAGTAGTAATAATAATAATAATAATAATAATAATAATAATAATAATAATAATAAAAAATGGAAGGGACCTTGGAGGTCATCTAGTCCAACTCCCTGCTCAGGCGTGAGGTGAACCTTTTACAGACCGAGTGCCCAAAAACTGCCCCCCCTGCCTGCACGGCCACCCACCACCTCCACGGCCAGCCGCAGATCACCTGGGCGGCCCAGCAGCGCCATGGCAGCCACACCCTCCGCCCACACCCCGCAGCATCAACTGCACGCAGCGGGTGCAAGGGTGAAGTTTTCGCTGCCCTGCTCCACGCA